GATTAAAATATTTCAAATCCGATAACTTGGCATCGAAATTCGATGATTTTCCTAATTATTTCTTTTCTAACGTAAAACTGAATGCAAGCAATATATTTTACGCATTAATATATAAACAACTTATTTTCTAAATATTTGTCTTATTTCTTTACATTAAATTCATAATGTTCATATATTTCCATATATTTTTCACGAATAATAACTAACTGCACTTCTACATTTTTTTATTGCCATTTCTAACTTTAAAAATATGTTCGTAAAGCAATCCTTATACCGCGACACCAAAGTTGTCGGAAATGGCTCGACTTTCTAACCTACTTAAAGTTTGCTGTAGCTGCATGGGTGTATGAAATGTAGAATATTGTTACGAAAACGTATTAATCCACCACCACAACAACACATTTGCTTTTTGTGTATTAATGCATTATCAGTAGCGCTACGATGCAAGTGTCTCAGTAACTTTTTTGTGGTTATAATAGCTATTGACATTTCTCAATCTATTTCTACCCGATTTATCATAAACGGTAAATATTTCAAGTCTGCTGGATTATACTCATGTATATCCATCAGATTCGCGTGTGATCCAACGGGGATGAGCAGTAAATCGCGATCGTATAGTCTCTTTTAAACAATTAAACTTACTTTGCTTCGCAGATATTCCATACTTCCAGCGCTTTTTCCGCTGAACAATCGTTTCCGACAATGTCGTAGACGTAAGTCGGTGTCGAAAGTCAACGCACAAGGATTGATATGGACTTACGCTGCATCAATCGTCCGACTTTTTTAATCATATTTGCTGGGATATGTCTACGTCAATCCTTGTGCATTGACTTCCGACACTGACTTACATCTACGACATTGTTGGAAACGATTGCGACAATCTTTGTTCTTAGACCAATACTTACGGATATCTATCAGATCCGGGTATAACCCAATCGGAATGAGCAGTGTACCGCGATCGTGTGGTCTCTTTTGTACAGTCAAACTTGCTCCACAAGTATTCCGTCTTTCTTGTTGAGACACGTACGGAAAAGGCATCAAATGTGAGATATGCTGCCTGCGTAATGATGCCGAATCGGAATGGTGGCGCCGACCGACGGCGCTTCAGAGAGTTACCGTAACTCAACCGTTTTGAATAATATGCGCGCTCCTGACTTTATTCTTACGAACAACGAACTTATGACTAACTGCACTTCTATTCTTTATCGCTATTTCTAACTTCAAGAATGTGTTTGGAAAACAATCCTTATATCGCGATGCCAAAATTGTCGGAAATAGTTCAACTTTTTAACTTACTGAAAGAGTTGTTATAACCTGCGCGTGTGTATAAAACGTAGTATATTCTTACGAAAATGCATTAATTCATCGCGACAACGATACATTTGCATTGATTTTGTACATTAACGTATTATTAGTAGCGCTACGATGAAAGTGTCTCAATAACCATCCAGATAGCACAGAAAATTCTAAAAGAATTCAGTCATATGCCACCAATACTAAGGTCATTTTTAAATATAAAAAGAATTCTTTCCATTGAACTGAACTCTGAAGAATTCTTTTTGCATCTGAAAATGAACTCAGAATTTGTGTCATACGACTGAATTCTTTTTGAATTCTCTGTGCTTATCTAAGCAGTTCGTAGTTATGGTACTTGTCGATATTTCTCTAACTATTCCTCCTTATGATTTACCGTAAATAATAAATATCTCAAGTCTCTTGTAATTAAGGTGACTAGACGTCCCGATTTTTTCAAGTGTTATTCGGGACACCGATTTGTCATCATTTCAATGATTGTCAAATAATTTTCGGATTTTTTTACCCCCTTCCCCCCGCCCCCCGCTTCACACATTTATAAAGTTTCTTGAATTTAGGGTTAGGAAATCTAGTCATCTTACATATACCGCGAGGAGAAACGAGATTACTTACAAATGACTTATAAATATCTTCACGATACGTCCCGACGTACATCGCTACTCCCGAGACTTATTAACGCGCGAGACTCATTTTCGACGGATAAAAGGCGCGAGAAACGCGGAGCGATGTATGCCCATGGCTGCTGTTTGGCGCGAAAAGATCGAGCATTTCATTACCAACGCCTAAGGCGCGTTCGAAAACTCCCGGGTGCTTCTCTTCTCTCTTTATCTCACTCCTAGAGAACCTCTAGTACAGAGAATCGCCAACTTGGTCATGTGACCAGCTACTCAGCTACTCTGCGATTGGCTGGCATTAACATGTACGGATTTGGACATTGCGACGCCGATGCAAAACCATATATATATATATATATATATATATATTATATATATATATATATGTATATAATAAGCATTTATTCTGCATTAGCGTCGCAATGTCTAAATCCGTATATATTTATGCCAGCCAATCAGTTGGTCACGTGATCAAGTTGGCGATTCTCTGTACTAGAGGTTCTCTAGTTCGCATCACTGGCGTTCACTTTCATACATTTTTGGCATTTTCGGCGCGCTAATGAACTTTTGGTGTACGGGTGCCTTTTCATGCAGCGAATGATTTGTAGCGAGTAGTGAATAATTCGCCGCGAAATAATGAATAATTCGTGCGTAAGAGAATTGCTGTAAGAAGTAAGAGTAAGAAATTAACCAATCATAGTTGATTATTCTTGTCACATTCGACTGGTCAATTTCTTGTTCTTATTTCTTACTGCCATACTTTTACGGCTATTATAGATGATCCTTAAGGCTTGTCGATGACAGTCTCCATAGAGGATGCAACCTAAGACGTTTCTCTGACAAATTTTTAAGATGTTTGAAAAATTTTAAAACATTTTTTAGACATTTTAGACGTCGTGTTGTGTGGATCTTTTTTGTCAAGTCAAAATTGCTCCGCGAAATATTTCGTGCTTCATGTAGAGACATGTATTCGGAAAAGGTGCCAAATGTGATATGTAATATTAGTCTTAAGTTGGTGGCGCCGATCGACGATACTTCAGAGAAGTACTGTAACTCAACTAGGTACC